AAATTTTATTTAATAAGTGAATATATCAGTATCTTACAATAAGATTCTTTAAATCAATATGATTTGTGGATTTATTTTTAATTTCACGTTATATAAACTATTATCATAGTTCGTGTTATCAACTTGATGTTCTTTACCTTAGATAAGTCATTAATTGAAAAAAAAACATATGATACTTCACCGTAATTTTTACATCTGAAAAAATTTGTCCGTTTTTACTGACTTACACAATAAATTTCTATTGTTTTATAACTTATCTATTTGAAATAATCAAGATGGTTCGTGATTTCAAAGCTCCCATTAATGTCTCCCCATTAATCAGAGTAAGTGAATTGTAATTTTTGTATTATGAAGAAAACGGTAGACTGATTTCTGGATATTATAAGTCTAACATCCCAAAACATTTATTGAATATACACTGTTTTTACAGAATTATTATTTAGCATTAACCATGATAACGATTATAATGATGTAGATTTTTGATGCGTCTTTTAATTTGGTTTAAAATACTAGACATGTTTTTTTCAATTACCCCATTATAAATTAAAGATTAACTATATTTTAGTGTAGTATTTACATTATTTATGTTATTTAAAAGTAGTATTTATTCTTATTGGTTTAATACGTGACATAGGATTCATTGATTCATTGTAAAGGTATAAAAGTAATAAGTATTAAAAGTTACAAGTCTTAATTTTTCAAATATTCATGAAAAATAAACTTAATTATTCATTTTATTGTTTAGTTTGGTCGTTATTCTTTACTCCTAGCTGGTATTGGGTACGGAATGACTAGACATAGTTTTTTGCAAAGGAAAGAAGACAAATCCAGAGATGAACGTTATAGGTTAAAAGCAGAAAGAGATGCCAAAATTGCTGAAGAAAAGAAAAACTTTGCTGCAGGTATATCAATGTTATATCATACATTAATTTTTTTATATTAAGGTTAACATATGTTTTTTAATATTAGTTATATGCCGGTAAATTAAAAAATTTTAATTATTTATGTTAACTACTATGTAGTTGAATATAATGTTAGCATTCTTTTAGTGTTGGCCATTCAATATCTCTAAATTATTTTTTTGTGAATTTTTTTTTTGCTTTTGTTATTTACATTATTATCTTTACTTATCTGTTATAAAATATTTTTTATGTTCATCCTTTATACCTTATAAGTGCGTCAACTTTAATTTTTCAAACGACAATAAACATAATTAACTGGCTTATAAACAAAAAAATGATCTGAGCAATAACAACTATTATGATTTAGTATTTCAGAATTTATTAATAATTTAAAGTAATACTGTATTACTTTAATTAATAGTGGGTTTGCTATTTTTATCACTAGACATTTCTTGGCCTCGCTCTTTCTGCTTAGGTATAAAATATTAATAGCTCGTGAAATACTGGTCCAAATTTTTTTATCAACTAGCTAATTTCATATTAAATTATTTTCTATTTTATATCTAGTTAAATATATATGTCTCCATTAAAAAAATACATCTTTATAAGAGATAAGGAATGAACATAACAAATATTTTTAACACATGGAGTTACATATGTAACTTATAAAAGTCAAAAAAATAATTAAAATAAGTTGAAGGGTTAATGTATAATAATCATCCTGTATAATTCTCTTAAAGTAATATACTTTTTTATAAATATCTACAATTCATAGATTCCTTTGAGAACAATAGTGTTACAGAAAAATTCTTGAATATTCAAGTAGTATCAATTCCTAAGGACTTTTTCCCATATAAAATTTACCTAAATTTTGCTAGTCACTACAAGTACAAATTTTTTTTTTATCCATGTATTAAACTAATTGTAATGTATTAAGTAATCGTATTGTGTCTGCTCTGTTCCTGAGATTGCGTGTTGTATTTCCCACACACTCATAAATATATATATTTCAGATATATGACATATCTGAAATAGAAATTTCTCTTAATTCATATATGTC